ATGATCTTTTCACGTCCCCTTGACCGTGGGACTTTCCGAGCTTGGTTCCTATGGGCACTCTGCAGCCATGGCCCTTGCTCTCAGCATCTTGACACCTGGTTTACCTCAGTTCCTCCTCACTGGTGCTGGGATAGCTTCCCGTGCAGCTTTGTTGAACCCTCGCCTCGTGAACTGGGTTCTGCCCAGGAGGGAGCCGGGCCGGACCCATAGGCCTCTCTGGAGCCCCTGCTCTGGGGCAGCCGCCCAGGGGGAGGGGCAGGGGGGCCAGCAGGCTGAGCGGTGCAGGCCCAGCCAGCTTTCTTGTCAGACAGGCACTGCCAGTGCGGAGCCAGACATCGGGAACAGGTTTAACCAATTACCCAAGCGCCCCATCTGCTGTCTGGGGCGTGTGTGAGGGTGAGTGCGTGTGAGGGTGTCTGGGAGCGTCTGGGAGGGCTGTGGGCGTGCGTATGTGAGTGTGACCGTGTGGGCGTGTGTGGGTGTGTGGTTGCAGGTCCCGGTCAGCCCCCTCATTTGTCAAAGACTGTGCCTACCGGCCCCTGGTTCTCCTGTCTCCCCAAGACCTGAGGGTCTACATGGATAACCCACCCGGCACCCCAACCTCTCACCCCCTTCTTTTCTCATCACCACCCACTCTCAGGGTGTATCAGAGCCCAGGATTGCGCCTTCTTTCCAATCGCACGTTCAGATGTCCTTTCCTCTCAGACCACACATTCTTTCCTCTCACTCACACAGCTTTCCTCTACAACCATGCTTTGACCTCATGGGCCCCTCTATTTTCTCTATGACATCCCCTTGTCCCGCTGTTCCTTAGTAGCACCTGCCTGAAATCACAGACTTGCTTGAACCTCTTTCCCCATCTGCCCTGGCAGCTGAGTCTGTGAGGACATCAGGCAAGCGGGCTGCATGGCACCCCTCAGCTGAGGCCTCACCCTTATTAATAAGTCCACTCCCATTCTCCACAGGAATGTCTCAAACCTCTCCCCAAGGTTCTCCCCCAAACCTCATTTTCCCCTTTACCCTCAGCAGAGGAACTTACTTCCATCTGGAAGCACTAGAAGGGAACACCTTCATATCAGTCAGGGGCCCAGTAGAAAGAGATGGTCTCTTCAAATGGAAGCACTTTGAGGAGAGTTGAATAAAGGGCAATCAACAAATTTTGGGAAACCAACACGAGATGCTACAGGACCCCAAGATTAGCAACCATTGGGAATCCATGTGGCCCTTAGCCCTGAAGGGGCCAAGGGCAGGAGCAGGTGCCAGACAGAACCTGAGAGGACAGCTGGACGGAGAGGGCCCCAAACAGGAGCTGTGTCTACAGCAAGAGGCCCACAGCCTGCAGGGGATTCTAGGGGGAATAAAGCCCCCAGTCTCATTCTCCTCCAATCCTCCAGTTTCTTGCCATTGACTCCCGATGGCGGGAGCCAGACAGCGAGTGCTATGAGTCAGCCTCCTGGGACGGAGAGTGGGGGAGAAGGTAGCAGAGTGGATCTGGAGGGGTCAGGGAAGCTAGCCTCCCCCACCCCCTGCTTCCCACCCTCAGACCCACACTGCCTGCATCCAACTCATTCTCTCCACTTGCCTCCTGTTATCAGCCAAGATCCTCCCTGCCCCCCCTGGGGACCTCACTTCTGGGTGGTTCTTCCTCTTTCCTGCCTTTACAGTCTCTTTCACTCTCACCCTTTAGAGTTTTGAGTTTAGAGCCACCCTTCTAAAGCCCTCCCTTAGCCCCATGTGATGCTGCAGCCATCGTCACGTCTCTCTGCCCAGCTCACAACCGAATCTCTTTAAAGAATTCTCTGCGTTGGCAGTCAGTGGAAGTCCTGCTAACTTCTCAGCCCATGGAGACCTGGCTTTTGCCCCGACCACGCTCCACTGAGACCATTCTCTTCAGGTCCTTCCAAGAGACACAGCCTGGTCTTCATCTTCCTTCAACTCTCAGCACCTATTAAATATGTGGACAACCTCTCCCACTTGAAGCATTCTCATCTCGTGTCCTCTGGGATACCACACCCTACTTATCTTCCTCTTACCTCTTGTATTAATCTACTAGGGCTGCCATGACAAGCACCGCAGACTGGATGGCTTAAACAACAGAAATTAATTTTCTCACAGTTCTAGAGGCTAGAAGTCCGAGATCAAAGTGCCAGCAGGGTTGTTTTCTTCTGAGGTTTCTCTCCTTGGCTTGCAGGTGGCTGTCTTCATGTTCACATGGTGTTCTCCCTCCATGCCTGTCTATGTCCAGATTTCCCCTTCTTATAAGGACACCAGTCATATTGGTAGGGTTAGGGCCCATCCTAATTGATCTCATTTTAACTTAATTACCTCTTTAAAGATCGTACCTCCAAATAGAGTCACATTCCGAGATACTGGGGGCTGGGACTTCAACATACCGGGGGGACATAATTCAGCCCACAGCACCTTTCTTGTAGCTGAGCGTCTTAGCAGGCCTCACAGATGGGGACTCCTTGAGGTTCCAAACCAGTCATCCTCTTCTCCCCGCCACGTACTCCCCCTGAGTCACAGAGGTAGTTGCCTCTGTTCCTTTAGCTCCAGGTACTCTCAATAAATGGATAACATGCCAATCTACACATCCAGTCCCACCCTGCCTCCTGAACTCCAGACAAGCACACTCAATTTTCTCCTGACATCTTGACTTGGTTATCTCATAGGAACCTCTAATAACTTGCAGAACAGAATGTACCATCTTCTCTGCAGTTTTGTTCTTCCTTCTCTGTTCCTAAGCTCTGAGAAATGGCACCACCACCTATGTCCTCAGCTGCCCAATCCAAGAACCTGGGGCCACCTTTGACTTTTCTCTGCCATCCTTTCCACAATCAATCGGCAAGAGCTAAGCAGTTCTGAATCTCTTCACTTCTCTCCATCCCCATCCCACCACCTGGTCCAGGCCCCATCTTCCCTCACCTTGACTGCCACAATGGCCTCTTCCCCGGTCTCCCCAGCAGTCTTGCCTTTTCCCACCACACTCCACTCCGTTGACAGATGAATCTACTTCTCCACTTAAAGCCTCCAGTGGCTCCCAGCCTCCTTGGCGCTGCAGCCCCTGGCTCACTTATGTCTCCAGTGTCTTCCTGCAGCTCACTTCTGGAGAGCGAGGGCCCTGCTGTACTGTCCCTCCCTCTGCCATGCTCACATGTGAAGAGAAGGAGAACCAGCTCAGGTGGCTGGGGACTGATGGCAGCCCCCTTCCCTCATTTGCCCGCTGGATTTGCATGGGGTCTTTAACGGGGACATCTGGTATCTCTGTATGTCTGCCCATTTGTACACCTTCTCTTTCCCCATTTTGTTCTCTCCTTCCTTCTCTCTACCCTTCTGAAAGTCCCAGGGGACTAGGGTGAGGTAGTTCTCCAGATTCTTGCTCTGGCTGAGGAGGTGTCCTTGTCGGAAAGGGGCCAAGCTCCGACCTGGACAGGCTGCCGGCACCTACCTCGGAATGGGGCACGGAGAACAAACACTTCTGGGCCACTGCCTGAGAGAGACACCTGGTACTGCAGGGAAGCATGTGGGGGTTAGGCCTTTCAGGGAATGGCTGAGACTTTCCTGTTTGGGGGGCTAACCAATGGCAGTGGAATGGGTGAGATAGCAGGGACAGCAGCAGTTCTGGAGGACAGGGGAAGCCAGCTCCCCAGGGCCTTGGGAAAGGGTCACTCATCACTGCCCTCATCCACTAGCATTTTGACTCTCCTTCTAACCATGGCCTGGGTGGGAGGAGGGAGGCCCTAGGGGCCAGCGGATGGGGATGGGGCCAGGGGAAGCCACATTCCTGGAGTGTTAATGATCTCCGGGCTAGGCAGAAGCTGAGCCCCCAAACTAGCTAAAAACAACAAACAGCTCCCAGGAGGGATTTGTGTCTTTTCTGAGAGTCAAGGATTTCCATCCGGATGGGGGCTGTGGCCAGTGAGGCTCTTAGCAAAGAAATTCCCCTGAGACCAGAAGCCCCCTGACCTAAAAGTATCACTTTGAGAACAGACCCCTCCCCCATCCCTTTCCCTCCTCCCACCCTCCTAGGGAGGTCCAGCGCCCAGGTAAAGGGAGGCAGCAGCCCCCCCGACACCTGGGAGGTGTGGGAGAAGCGTCTGGGTTCGTTCCTTACCTGGTCTCTTCCATCCTTACACCAGTCCAGCGAGTGACGCTGTTCTTTACGTTTTATAGCTAAGGACACCAAGGCTCTGCTGGAGATGTTCCATAAACATCTGACTGAATGAATGGGTGAATAAAGGAGGCGACTGGCTAGAAGTCACAGTCGGGCTGGGGCCAAACTGGGGCTGGAACCCGGGTCTGCCCTACCCCAGCCATGAACCCCACCTCCGCTACATTATCCTCCTGGTAGAGGAGGCCATCAGCTTCTCCCTGCAGGCTTGGAAGATGCTTGGAGGTCCCAGAGAAGAAGCCAGGTCTCACTCCCTCAGGATCTCTGGGAGCTGCCTGGAGTGGGAGGAGGCAAAGCTGTCAGGAGGTGGCTGAGGCCTGGCCCTGAGGGACTGTGGAGGAGTTAGGAAGGGGCAGAGTTCCCAGGGATGGTGCCATGCACCACTGCCAATATCAGGTACCTTTCCACTGGGCTCAAACCTCTTCTCCCTATGAAGTCCCTCCGGGCCCCCAGGCAGTCCAGAATGCCCCTCCCACGCCTCCCCCCAGTCCCCTGGGTATCAGTAGCCAAGAATCTACCAAAATCACTCTTCTACTCAGTTCCTTGCAGTGGGGCCCTTAGTGAGCCCTCCTCTCAGCCACCACTCTGTAAAGGGTCTTTCTGCAGAGTTTCAGCTCACCCGCTTTGTCCCGCTTCCTGCCCTCACATGCCCCTCCGTCCTTTTGTCTCTTTCCCTTTGGGCCTCCTAGCAGGCTTGACCCCTCCTGGAGCCTGGGTCTGCACCTTCCTCAGGGGCCTTCTCACAAAATCCTCAGTCAGCGCTTGGCTTGTTCCCACTGTTTCCCAACCCCTACCTCTCCCACCCACAATTCACAAAGCCAAGCCCTGATGCTTTAAATCCATCATTTATTGCCCACAGCTCATTAGTACTACATAAATCACAGAGATTGAGAAATTTTCTGAGAAGGTTAAAAAGACACTGCAAAGTCCCCTGGGAGTGGCCAAGGCGTGTGTGCTGGTGTCTCACTCACACTGGCCCAGGGCTAGAAAACCACCTTGCTTCCGTCCACTGCCCTTGTCCTCTCAGGACGTCACCCTGCTCCCAGGCTAGAGGCCCAGGACAGGAGACCAGCTGGCTCACAGTCTGGAATTGGAAAAGGGGTCTGTTGGTTATCTTGACATCTTGGGCTTTTAGTTCCTGTGCTCTAAGATCGCTCTCTGGAATAGGAGAAGGGCATCCCCAAGCCTGAGGGAATGTTTGAAGTGACCAGAGGAGGGTACACAGGGCTAGAGAGAGAGCCAGCTGCAGGTGTGCCCTGTCTTCTGGCACAGCTGGGCCAGGCCCAGCCCTCAGTGGATCCTGGCTCAGCCTTCCCACCACCCCTAGTTATGAACCAATCTGCCCACGAGGCCTCCCTTCCTCTGTCCTCAGCAGAGTAGAGGATGGATGTTGGCCAAAAGCTTCCCCTCATGGTATTTTTTGCAGCCAGACCAGGACTTAGCAGCATGGTCGCCTGAACCTCTGTCACAATTACCCTGAGCTACGAGGATTCTTTGCCACCCACCCCTCCCACTCCCCGGGAGAAACCCCCTTAGCTCATGTGAAATTGCGTTGGGAGCATGACCGGAAAGCATCTAGGAGACAAAGTAAGTAGGTTATGAGATGCCGAGGCCACAGGGCTCCCAAGGCTTGGGCAGGGGTGGGGCTGGGCAGGGGCAACCAGCACAGAGGCAGAGTTGGAAAGACCCCATCTCTGCCAGGCCCCTGGACGGGGTGGGAGTAGAGCTGGGGTGAGCAGTTTTGGTCCCAAGGTATTAAGTGCAAAAAAACAAGACCCTATGAGAGGTGGGGCAAGGTGAGTTTGAAGTGAGCTTTTCAAAAGAGGACCCAGACATGCCCAGCCCCCAGTCATTGGCACATTCACATTATGGCAGGATTAGCTAAAAACGACCTGCCCCTCCAACACTGTGGTACCCCCTCTGCTCTTGTGTCCTCCATGCCTGTCTCTGCCGTCTCCTTTTCCTGATGGGCAGTGGGTGGGCTGCTCCTTAGGAGAGTGGGGAGCCCTCAGGGAAGCATCCTGCAGAGCTAGCTGGGGGGCACCAGGGCCTGCCTGGGTGGTGAGGGCAGCAGGGGCTTCTGAGGAGTGCATGGTATCAATGCACCTCACAACTACCCTGCCCTAAAGATGGCAAGAGCCACCCATGGCCACGCCCTTGCCGTCGTGCAATAGCCTTTTCCTGCAGGTGCATGTGTTCATCTCCAGCCAGGTCTCTCCCCAGATGAAGTCGCCAGGGAAGCAGAGGCCCTTTGGCTGCATATCAAGGGCTCCATTCAAGTTGGGGTCAGGTGAGGGATGCATGGAGGCCCAGGCTTCCTCTTTGTTTGGGCCTTTCAGATGGGGGTCAGGGGGCTTATCTTGTTCACCCCCACCTCAGGCCCTGCTTCCTCTGCAAAGCTCCTGTAGCGCTCTCCCCTCTCCTGGCCTGCAAATGAGAGCCAGCAGCAACGGGCCTCGGAGGCCCATGCAGGGTGAGAGGCAGCGGCATGAGCATGTGGGCCTACACTCAGGCCCAGGCATGCACGCTGCCTCTTCCCTGTAAAGTGTTTGGCAAAGGTCAAGTGCTCCAGGAATGTGTGTTCACATACAGAAGGGCGAGGTCCAGGTCCTGAGGCCAACAGCTGGCCATTTCCAAGGGAGCCTGCCCCATTCCCAGTCCAGTGTCCACGCTGGGGATATGCCTGGGATGCCCAGGATCTGAGCAGGACAGGCAAAGACAAAGTCCAGCTGGAAGAGCAGGTGGGAACCCCTCAATCCAGTCCTCTGGTTCCGGACAGGGAGTGGAGACTCAGCGAAGGTAGTGGACACGTCCAAGGTCACACAGCCCATCAGTGCCAGAGCTGGGGACTGCTGTTCCTGGGTTGATGCTCTCAGGTAGATGCCTAGAGATCTGGGCTTTGCACTCTCAGGCACGAGACCCTCCTGCTCAGGAAATGGTGGGCTGGGGCAGGTGGCCCGGTGGCTGGAAAGGACAGCAGTCAGCCTGGCTCCAGCCCTACCCTCAGTCCCAACGCCCAGCTTCCAGCCTGTGCCTGGAAGGAAGATCTTCCCGCAGAGGGCAGAGGGCAGGCCACGGTTCCCGCCAAGCATAATTCTTTCTTAGGACTTCCTGCCTGGAGCTGGGGTCATCTCTGGGTCTCAAATGGATCAGGGCTCCGTGGAGGGTGACACCAGCCTCAGTGTGTCACTGGGCTTCATGCAGAGGAACTGGTTCTGTAGGTGTGGCACAAAGGCTGGTCACACTCAGAGCCAGCTGCCCAAGGAATCTTCTAGAGGCCTCCAGTGCCCCTTGGCTTCCTGGGCCACCTCCTGAGGAACTCAGTCACAGCTGGTTCATCCTGTGAAGTGTAGACTGGCTCCCCTCCCCTCCCTAGTCCAGCCCAGCACAGCCCAGCACAGCCCAGGGAGCTATCGGGCCTGGCCACAGTAATATCTTAAATCTACCAGCCAGGCCACCAAGGCCACCAGGCCTACTCCGCCCACCACCTGTTGCATCCGGGCAGCTGCAACCAAGGCTTGATTCTGATAAAAAAGAAAAAGAAAAAAGAAACCAAAGTATAAAAGGATCCTAATCCTACCCCGTGGACACTCTACAATTCTTCAGCTTCACACATAATTGTGCTAAGTGGAGTTCTGACAACCCCACATAAGGCCCAGAAATGCACTTGATTATTTTTCATAGTAAATGTGTCAGAATTCCTGTCCCTTATGTTAAAGTGTGAATAGATTAGTCTCCCTACCACTGTGGGGGGAGGGATCCCGCAGGTAGCCCAGGACTGGGGGGTCAGCTGGCCTCTCCCTGCAGGTGCAGCCCACGGGACTCCTTCTCTGCCCCCAGCTCCCGGCCTGGACAACGCTCCGTCCCCCAGGCCGGCCGGCCACCGCTTACAGCCCCTTGTTGTACACCACTGTCCGGCTGCTCGTGGCCCGGGCAATCTCAGGCTCTAACTGGGTCGTTTCGATCTGAGAAGAGAGTGAGAAGAGAGAGAGGAAAGGTGAGGGGGATGGGAGGGAAGGGGTGAGTGGGGAGCTGGGAGTAGCAGTTAGGACCACCTGGTGCCCACACTTCTCCCCTCTGCCCCCGGCACCCCAGCCAGGGCCCACGTGTGCTGCCTAATGATACATCTTCCTCCTTTACTGCTCTTCGGCCCAGGGGCTCACGATACCCCTTCCAGCCCAGGTCATGCCTCTTACTCTGCCAGCACATCCATGCTGGGGAACGTCCTACCCTCTGAGCTCTCTGTCTCCCTCATCTCCAAGGACCTTGTCCCCGATGCTGCATAGGCCACTCCCAGGACACACCCTGGGCCTGGTCACCCCCAGGGCCGCTCCATCCAGACTCCTTAAATCCAAACCCCGCCCTCTTGGACCCCACCATCCCCTGTCCTTCCAGCACCCCACTCACTCTCCCTATCCATTTTCGGACCACCAAGACCCCAGCCCCAGACTCCCTACGGCTCAGTCTTCACAACCTCCCCCTCCAACCTGGACGCGAAGGGCCAACCACTTCAGCCTCTCCGAGCTGCAAGGCCCTTCTGGCCTGACTGGCAGAAGCCCTGCTTTGGAGGAACCCGATTATGCATCTACCTCGTCTCCACTTAAACCTGACCACCTAGCAGAGACCACTCAACATTCCCTGCCCCTGACTTTGGCTGGACCCTCACAGTGGCCAGACAATCCCCAGCCCTGGGCCACATGGCCGCTCAACTCCCTCCCCCATTCTCCGCAGAGGCCACCTTAAACCTCCCCTGCTGTCCTCAGCCATCCCCACCCTCAGCTCCGCACTCATCTTCCTACTTCGGAGTGAAAACAGAAGGCATCAGAAGACACCCCTCAGCTTCTCGTCAAACCCACGACCTACCTGTGTCCACACTCTGCTCTGGACCTGCCCTCCAGCTGCCCCGCTGCGGCTATCCCTCCCTCCGAAGACCCCATTCTGCAGACCACCGCTGGACTGCCCTCCCTCCTTCCCACCTTTTCAGCCCACTGCCTCCTGCTCACCAGCAGAGAACCTCCCATCCCATAAAACCTCCCCGTAACCCCATGTTATGCTCCAGCTACCACCGGGTCTCTCTCCCCTCCCATGGCCACATTTTTTCAAGGCGTCGTCCACACTGGCCAGCACCATCTCCTCACCTCCCACTGACTCTCCAACCCACAGCAAATCTGGCCTCTGCTCCTACCACGCTCCACAACAATCTTCCTCTCCAAGGTTACTGCCAGCTCCCTTTGTGTGACACCCACTGGACACTTCTCAGGGTCTCAGGGTTCCTCTTCCCTGCACATAGCCCCACAGGTACTTAAACTCAACCCATCCAGAGCAGAACAGAATTCCTCATCTCCTCCCCCCCACCCCGCCCCCTGCTAACCACACCGCCACCCACTGGTGCTCTGGCCAGAGACCCTGGGGCCTCCTGACCTCCACTCCCCTTCCCTCCCCTCAGGTGTCACTCACTCCAGTCCCTCCCCCATCACAGCCATCGGGAGCCTTCTCAGCTGCAAGTCTGGCCATGCCTCTCTTTGTTATGAAATGGCTCATTGGCCCCACTGCCCTCAGGGACCCAGTGGGATCCCTGGATCCCTCAAGATCCAGCCCCTGCCTCCCCCTCACCACCCAGTCCCTTGGAATGGAGACACGGCACACCCACTTATCACCGTGCCTCAGATACACTGGGTTATTCCCACCCCGAGTCTTCGCCGGAGCTGCCCTCTGCCACTTCCTCTCCTCCCCAACCCCAATTCCCTCAGCTTTAGACATCTTCCCTCATCCAGGCTGGGTACGGCCACCTCTCCAGCCCCACTCTCCCCTGCACTTTGTATAGCCGTTGTAGCATGTGGTTCAAGGCTGCCCGATCACTCATCTCCCGCTTCTCCACGTTAGATCACGAGCTCTATGAGGCAGCAAGTGTGTGATCTTGTTCATCCTGCATCCTCAAGGCCCAGTGCCGGGAGACAGTAGGTGTTCATAAGTGTTGAATCAATGAGCGGAAAGAAGAGAGGCAGAGGGTACTGGGAGGTTGGGGTCCCCCTGGAGGCTCCACAGCCACCCAGATGTTGATCTGCAGCTCCAGGGACTGATCTGGTGGGGACACCTGAGCCCCCAAACCTGAGGGAGCCGGGAGGGAGGCGCTCCCTCTGTGGGGGGCCCCAGCCTGACACCTGCCCTGGACCGAGTCAAGGGAGCACCGGGCCTTTGAAACTCAGCTCGCTGAGCTTGGTCCCAGGTACCTGCTATACATCAAGACGTGGCAACTCTGGGTAGTAGGCGGGAGGTGCCATAGACTGGACGGGCTTTTAGAGAACTCAGTCATGTCCGAGACCAGACAAGAGGGGATTCAGTGTGGGCTACAGCTGGTGGGCCCGGTGAAGTTCCTGGAGAAGGGGGACCCTCTTCCTGTAGTCTCTGGTACCCCAATACCCAGGCCACTTCAGAGGGCCAAAGAGACAAGAGCGAGGCTCAGGGACCTGGCCTCTTCCCCACCTCCTCCCTCCACACCCCTGCCGGCCTCCGAGTCCCCTCCACCCCACCGGCTCTCCTCGTCCCCATGCTGCCACTGACACAATGCACAGCGCCCACGCTTAAAAATCTAAATGCTTTTGAAAATGTTTAACCTAGTTAGACAAATTAGCAAAAATTTGTGCAAAACAATTTAGGTATTTAAAATATTCAATGTTTTTAAAAAACTGGAAAACTGTTCTTAGCTTTCAGCTGCAAAAACCAACAAAATATAACATCCCAGCAATCTTACCATGAGGTGTAACATAACCCTTCGGGAAAGCTGTTAAACAGCTACTGAGGCATCCTGGGAAATAGCACTTCATTTATTCAAATGCACATATGTCAGGCTTTTGCACCATATGTCATTCCAAGCTATTTACAGTAATAATTAAATCTTAATCAACGTTTAACCTCTGTAAAATGTTTGAAGAATCCTAATCACCCTTCAGACTGCACTAATGAAGGAGAAATATATAAACATAAAAGGAAAATGATGCATAGATATCACGCTGGAAAGAACAGTAATTGCAAAATTGTATTTCTTTTAAATATAATCAGTAAATGATGTAAAGTAAGCCAAGGAGTATTTTAAGTTAAGACATCTTGGATGTCAGAGGTGTGAGCAGCTAATTTTGTTCTGCTACCCATAACAGATGTAGCATATTTTATTTTAGTGCCATTATTAGCAACTTCCCATGCCGGCTTTCACTGAAGCACTGAGGCCCGCATTAAAATCGGAGAGGCTGCTCACCACCACAGTGGAGGACCACGGGCCAGGGCCACGGCCTGCTCGGCCCATTCCCTGGAGAGCACTGGCCCTGGTGGAGACCAAGGCGTCCCCCTCCCAGCGGGGCTGTTGCAGACCCAGGCTCCCAACTGTGCTGAGGGCAGCAGGTAGGAGGGAAGAAGGGTGGGGAGACGCAGGCAATGGGAAGGCTGCGGGGGAGGGCAGTGGACGAGGCCCTCCACTCAGGAGCAGGCGTTTAGGGACAGAGCTGGCATCTAAGCCTTTTCCTCTCATTTCAATTCCATCGGCCTTCAAGTCACCGGATGTTTATAGCTGCCAACTCCATACACCAGGGCTGGGCACATAGAGGTGGACCAGCGCAGCCCGTGCCCTTGAGAAGCTTCAAGTCTAGGGAAGGAGTCAGAAAGGCAAGCAGATGGATCCCAGAGAGACAAACCAAGTGCCATGGAAACTGGGAGGGGGTGGGGGTTACCATGCATTGATGAAAGAACAAGGAAGGAAGACTTCTCAGAGGAGGGAGGCCAGAAAGAAACAGAAGGTTTTGATAAGAGAGGGCAGGAAAAGCCTGCTGGAGAAGAGAAAAGCATAAGCTGGCCAGCATGGCATGTTTGGTGTGGGCAATGCTGGGCAGGCTGGGAATGTGGCAGGAAATGGAGGTGGGGCTGGGGCAGGCAGGTCCCCGTAGGCCACGTGAAGGTGTCAGCATTTTACTTGAGGGCAATGGGGAGTCACGGAAGGATTCTGAGCAGGGGTGGTCCAAGATCCCTGTCTTGCTGGTGGTGGTGAGCATGGAGGATGGGCTGGAGAGGTGAGTGAGGGGGCAGCTGAGGGAATCAGAGAGAGGTGGCAGGTCCTGCCCTCTGATGCTGCCAGTGGGGGCTGACAGGAGGGTGTGCTGGGGATCCTTTCTAAGATGAAATCCACAGGAGTTGATGACCAATTCCATGTGGGGGTGAGAGGGAGGTGTTGAGGATGACTGTGCGTTGGATGATTCCTAATTCTAGCTCAGGAGCCTGGGTGGCTGGTGACGCCATTCTCAGAGGCAGGGGAATATGGGGGGGTGGGTCAGGGTGGGAGGGTGGTAGGCCTGGGTCCCCCAGGTTGAGAAGCCAGTGAGGCAGACAGGTCTTGGGGGAGGAGCTCTGGGCAGGGGCCTGGGCAGAAGAGTGAGCCCTGGATACGTGAGCACAGCCAGAGCCCTGGAGTGGAGGAGTTGCCCAGAAGAGCAGATGGCAGGGGAGGGCGCCAGGCCTGGGGAACAGGCACATTTGAGGGGCGGGTATAGGGAACAAGCCCATGATGGCAGCCTTGGGGGACCAGCCCAAGGGGCGGTGGCAGTGACGGAGGGCACCACAGACAACAGGCAGCATGGCAACACCAGGCAAACAGAGTTTCCATGTGGCCCCGGTGAGGGCTGAGAGGCTTTGGTCTTTGGTCTTGGCAGAGGGGTTTTGGTGGGATTTGGTGACCCCCTAGAGTCCAGATTTCCTAACCCTCACTCAGCCTCTCACTTCCATCCTGGGCCAATTCAACTGGTCATTCCTTAAGACCTCTCTAGTTCTCTGACCATAGCTGGGGGTTGAGCCAATGGCTCACCGTCTCGAGGGCTCATGGATGTCGGGACCACTGAGGGTCCTCACCACTGGGCTCAGCGGAGGAAGCTGGGGCAGGGACCCCCATGCTGCCTACCCCATGAAGATCAGCCCTCTGAGGTGT